CCAAAGCAACATACTAAACACAACACCATCGCATTAATCTAGCTAAGTGTAAACAGCAGTAAATACTAAATATTCAATGTTGTTGTGCAGCACGCAGGGCAGACAGTGCACAATGTGCTTTGAAGTAGCAGCCAAGAAAGGTGTAATTTAAGTCTACAAACAGTGAACACCCGTGTGCACACCTGTGTGGATCAGCGCGCTTGTATTCAAATGGTTTCCACATGTAATGGTCTGCAAGAGGATGTAGCGAGCCATAGCCCCGTCCCCCAGGGCATAATTGAGCAATCTTCTGTTGTCCTAACCCGTATTTTAACATTTTAAATGTCCACATTTTGATAATATCCACACCAAGACTGCAGTACCAAAAGAAAAAAATCAAGCAAAAAAGTGATTTATTCTCAGAACAAGTGATTACAAGTTTTAACCTTTTATTATTTTATTGAATAATGTAATATAGTCAGCTGAATATTCCCAGCTGGAGTTCCTTTGGTTTCTGACAGGGCTCTTACAAAGAAATGAATTCAGCTGCAATAATAGCGAGAAAGCTGCAGGTTTCAAAACAATTGTAAAAACATCTGAATTGCTTTCTTGTGGTGCGCTGCAGCTGACTTACAGGAAATATCCATGTCTGTCTAAAAAGAAGACCGCGGGAAAGAAAAATCACATTATTATGTTTTCTTGATACATTCATCAGTTAATAAGCCTTAATAAAATAAATTTTAGCGCTGGAGGTTCAGTGTTACGGTTAATTGAGACATCTAATGAGGGTGAACATAATACCAGGTGAACGCAGATTCAGATTGTCTGCTGTCTATGAACTCAGTGGTGCCACTGGCTTGAACGTGTTTCCTAGAAAAATATTGAAGCATTGCAGTGAAAGCAGAAAGCCGGCTCATCAGTCGAGAGATGCTTGGCCATCTGAAAGAGGTTTTATTTAGAATGAAGAGACTGTCTGAGAATTTAAACTGCTCAATTTCTGCCTGCACAGGCCAAGGACACAGATGAAAATAAACTGTTATTGACTCACTCTGAAACACTGTATTCTAATGGTATTAAAGTAGAAGACAAAAAAATCGAGGAATCAAAGGTTGAGTGAAAGCTGTTGTCACTGCACCGACTTTCCTTCTCGTCTCTTTTTTCCTGCATAAATTATTTTGTACAACACTTTTTTTTCTGCCTTTGCTCTTATCACACAGCCAGACTTTCTAACTTTCTTCATTACCACTTTAAAGGCAATTTGGTGTTTCTTCCTCTGAGGGTGGGTTTGAGTAATCAAAGCTACTCAAATATGAAAGTATTAACCATATTTCTTCCCCTTTCTGTCTCTTTCCCCTGATTTCTTATTACAGAAAGTCAGCGAGAAGGTTGGAGGGGCGGAAGGAACCAAGCTAGATGATGACTTTAAAGAAATGGAGAAGGTAATTACCTGTTTGTCTGTGATCTGATACCAGATTTAATCTTAGCTTAGTGTTAAGCGTAGAAGCAGAGAGAAACTGGATCTCTCTTACCTCTGCTGGTAGAGGTTAGCTAATTTAAAAGTTATACTTGTTATAATCGCTAAAATAACCTGGAAGCTTCAATGACAATTTTCTGAGAGAAGGTTTGGTGCCAGAATACTTCTTGGATCTAATCCACAAAGTAAGTGGGCACAGCAGAGATAGACTAGCATACTTTTGTTTTTTTGTTTTTTTTAATTAAACAAGACATACGTAAAGGTAAAGTTTGGTGCTCTAACTACAGCCTAACTGGCTGCTATGTGTTGCTTCACTTTGACCACATATGACTAACTTGTAAACCTGTATTACACCAGCAGATTTTTTAATGTATATCTAAATATATCTAGAAAATATTGCAAAGCTGTATTCAATGTAGTATATAGAGCAACTTTATTACTTGATTAATAACTGATGAGCTGTTGGCCTTCATCGTGGTCATTAACAGAAACAGAGCGTTCACCTTCAAAGTAAAAGTGCACTTTTTAAAATGCATTGGTTTCGACATTAAGGTACAGCTTCCAATTTGAAGGTGAACATTCTAAGTTTCTAGTTTGTAGGGTTGGGGAATACACATTTTTCCCCTAGTAATATTTGGTAGAGGGGATGGCAGACCTATCTATAGGCCTATGTCACTGAGGGTGAAGTTGCACCTTTCCAGGTTATGGCTATATAAGGTACCACCCAAGTTTTCTATTGCCAGAGATAATCACTCTGTATGAGTGTTGGTCCCATGTTGTTGTTTTTTATTTTTTCTGCTTTATGAAATATCCTACCAAACATGTTGTTAACAATATGTTTCATAATTACCTTAATGAAGGCCATAAGCCTAAATACACAGGAAGAAAAATAGTTATACTGCGTACTGAAAACGTTGCTGGAGCTGCTCTATGCAGTTTGGAAGTAGTTGAAGTTGTTCTTGGACTTTCTACTCTGTTTATACGAGTGAGTATCAGTTGACATGCTGATAATCTGGTGTTTCCCCTGCAGAAGGTGGACGTCACCAGCAGAGCAGTGTTGGACATCATGACCAAAACTACAGAGTACCTTCAGCCTAACCCAGGTATTAAATATACAAAGGTTGCAGAATACTAAAAAAAATTGCAAAACTATTATATTGTAATTCAAATTGTGACTCCTGATGTTACTGATGTTATTTCTGCTTTTTAAAGCATCAAGAGCCAAGCTGAGTATGATCAACACCATGTCAAAGATCCGTGGGCAGGAAAAAGGACCTGGTTATCCGCAGGCTGAGACCGTCCTAGGAGATGCCATGTTGAAGTTTGGACGGGAGTTAGGAGAGGAGTCCAGCTTTGGTAAATGTATACCTGTTAAATGACGTAAGATGTATCAGAAAGTTAACCATTTTTAATTATTTTTTCCAATTCAAGATTAGATAATAGAGGAAAATAGGTCATAAGCAGGTAGCAACCTTGGCGGCTCAGAAAAATTGGCTTTTTGCTAATTTCTCACTTTACTTCCAGGCTTGGCCCTCATGGATGCTGGTGAGGCGATGAAGGAACTCGGGGAGGTGAAAGATGCTCTGGACATGGAGGTTAAACAGAACTTTATTGATCCACTGCAGAATCTTCATGATAAAGACCTCAAAGAGATACAGGTCGGTAAACAAGTAACATTAGATATGTGGGAAATTGAATTTATAATGGTGACATGTTGTTGAATTCTTCTTCAACATGAATCTTAAATTGTTTATATCACATGTTCCTTTCTCATCTATTCCAGCATCATTTGAAGAAGATGGAAGGCCGACGTCTGGACTTCGACTACAAGAAGAAGCGTCAGGGGAAAGTCCAGGATGACGAAATCAAACAGGCACTGGAGAAGTTTGATGAGAGCAAAGAGATCGCAGAGCAGAGCATGTTTAACCTACTGGAGAGCGACGTAAGGATAATGTAATATACGTATTCCAATTCCACCATAACTTATTATTATCAGAGTTGAAGGTAAATATGTTCCTTAGCTCTACAGAGAAAAGTGTTAAATAATCTCAGATCATTAATACCAAAACAGAGTTTTGAAGACCAATCAGAAGAAGAAAATCTAATCATATTGTGCGCTCAGCAAATTAAAAGAAGATTTTATATTACAGCCACAAAAACATGTTCAATGTTTGTTTGTTTTTTTAAAAAAGGGGGGAACATATGAAATCAAATATTAAGGTCTATTCTTGTTACTGACATGTTCCAAGTAAAAAATTTGATGCTATATACAAACATGGAAAAGACAAGCAATCTTGTGCCTTGCTGTGCCAAACCAGTGCCAGCCCAGCGTGGGTATGGAGGATGGGTTTGGAAGAATAAAAACAACAAAAAACACGTTTATGTGTGTGTTGCAGATAGAGCAGGTGAGCCAGCTCTCAGCATTGGTCCAAGCTCAGTTTGAATACCACAGTCGTGCCTCTGAAATCCTCCAACAGCTCTCCAGGAAGATGGAGGACAGGTATCGATCCAGCCTCCTACTCAGGATAGAAATAAAGCTATAAAAATAGACTGTGTGGTTAGATAGAACTTAACTGTGTGGCTTCCTTCCAGGATAAAAGAAGTGTCCAGTAAACCGAGGAAGGAGTACACTCCAAAACCCAGAATGACACTGGAGCTGCTGCCACCCAGCGAAAGCCACAATGGAGGGATACACTCTGCCAAATCCCCAGGAAGATCACCAGGTAGAGAGAGGATGTCAATCTTCGATGTGCAGTTAGATGACTACCAGTATCCAGCTCAGTGGTATCTGTCAAATAATGTCCAGTAGAGATGAGGTATCTGCAGTAGTGTCTTGGTAAGTCAGGATCTGGGATGCCTCATGTAGTCTGAGCAAAAAGACGAGCACGTCTACCAGATAGAAGAAGCTGTGGGAGTTCAGATGAGATTTAGAAGAACGGTTTGGCCTACTAACTGCAGGGTTGGCAGTTCAATTCCTAGCCCTTCCTGTCCATGTTGCCAAGTGCAAGGCACTGAACCTTAACATACGATGCATCCTGTAAAAGCGGTAGATACTACAGACTCTACATAAAAGCCTTGAGGAGTGAAACCAGTCCAGCAGTGCATTAACCCTATTTTAAGCAATCAGCAGGGAATAACTCCACCGGTTAAAATAAGTCTGGTTGTATTTAAGCGTATAAGAAAATTGCCCCAGTTCTCAATTGCTTGATGTTTTTAATCTTAGTCGCTATTTCAAAGTCATCTTTAAGAGAGTTTTGTGTTTATTTTTTAATATATATTCCTGATCTGGGTCAAAATTGTCAAAAATTATTTCTGAAAGGCCTATAAACAGACTTATTGGCCACATACCCACTGGTTTGTGAAGTCCTGTTGTGAAGCCTTGTAAATTCATAACTGTGAGGCAAATCGGACTGATTGGCATTGCAAACTTGTGATTGATAAGTCGTTATCTATCTGTCTATCTGTATGTCTAATTTTCAGTCAGACTCCATGTTCAACACCCCAATTGGAAAAACACAGGAACGACACCAGAAATGCTTATCTCAAGGTTTCACAATGAGTCTTCACCATCAAAAAAAGGCCATCACAGTGGCTCATTGCTCTATCTGCCTGCCAGCCCCCCCCAAAAAAATTTTATTAATTAAAGCATGTCAGAAAGGAGACACAAACCAAGCCTCGGGGGTCGCAAGCTAGTGTACTCCCAGTGCTCGGCATCTGGTGCAAAGATGAGTTCCAAATTAGCATGCGCATCCATCCACTGTGGCATCCCCTTGGGAAATTATTTAGCAGCTGAAAGTTTCTTTCTACCTTCCAGAGTAGTATTAGAGTCTGTTAAACTTGTTTCATATTCGAGACAATTTACTTGTATGGACTTGCATGATTTTATTTTAAGTTTAATTATGAAATATACAAAGTTATTTAAAAGATTCCTGACTTTCTCTGGATTTTAGTTGTGCAGGATTTCAAAGTTAGTTAGAATGGTTTTCAGTTAACAGGTGAGCCTTGTCAAACCATTATGTTGATATCCAGCAAATTAGCCCCGTTCAATGCACAGCAAGAAATTCTTAAGTAAAACAAAATAGGCCCCGTATGTAACAGTGTCATTAAGCTAAACCAAAACAAACCAGATAACCAAAAATGCCGCATAGAGAGTGAAACTGACTCGCTATGTTTTGCTTCTGTCCATTCACAGCCCCTATGGACCAGCCATGTTGTCGAGCGCTCTACGACTTTGAACCAGAGAATGAAGGTGAGCTGGGCTTCAAAGAGGGGGATGTCATCACCCTGACCAATCAGATCGATGACAACTGGTACGAGGGTATGATCAACGGCCAGTCGGGCTTCTTCCCCATCAATTATGTGGATATTCTGGTGCCGCTCCCTCATTAGGTCCTGTTACCAACCTTCCGCTTCCCCTCGACCAATCCAGACACCCAGAAAACAGCCTGTATTTGCATAAACAACAAACCACGCCCTCCTTCTACTTCTTCTTCTTCTGTGCTTCTGTGCGATTCTGCTTTCACAAAATGGACTGAAACGAGAGAGAAGCCCGAGATGGGATACATAAGATGCGGCAGTAGAACAGCGATTAGAGTAGAAGAAGAAAGGGAGAGGAGGATTATAGCGTGAGAGCTGCATAAGCAAGGGACTGAAAGAGATGAAAAGACAAAGAGATGATGTTCTTTTATAGCGCAGTGCTTGGCCGGGCAGCACAGAATACTGTGAGGTTATGGAGACTTGCGAATAAGGCACGGTGTATATGTACGTGCATGTATGTGTCTGTATGTGCGTTTTGACCTGTTCTTACTGTATTTATGATCAAGCCAGCACAAATTCCTGCTTGTCGGTTTAGCTGCCTGACAGCTTTTTTGTGAGACTGTCTTCTTTCTTCTTTTCTTGCTGTATTTCTCTAAAAGTAACTGTTCTTTCTACCTTAACTTGCCTTCTTGTGCTCTTTTTCATACCTAGATTTTTCAGAAACTGTCACAGTTTTACCAGCTGTCTATCTTTGTTACTTTCTCTTGTCTTGTTATTTTCTTTCATTGGGTAGCACTACCTTTTAGAAAGGCTCCATAGTCCAGATTGTAGACCATCAAAATAACAACCCAGAGCCACAGATCCATAGAGTTTACGATTTAGGTATATTTCAACCTCTTTCTAGCTCTTTTTGTAACACCCTCTGCCTTTGCTGACACTGCATAGCATTTCAATTCAGTGGCTGAATGCATGATCCAGCCAAAAAAAGATTGACTGTGTTGAAGTAAGCTTGGTCTTGCTAGAATGGAAAAGAGAACATTTATCCACTTGTTTTTAAACCCATTTATCTTGTAAAATGGAACTTTTAGGAGGGTTTTGAGGCTTGAGGATCAAGAAACTCATTCAACACATCACTAAGCAGGAGTTCAAGTGATGAAAAGGAGAAGTTTGGGTTACTCTTTTTACCAAGCAGCACTGATTTGCCATCACAGCCACAGATGAATGTGTTGAACAGAGCCTTGTTTGTTTTTGTTTTTTATTTGATACACATTTGAACATTCCAGTATGCATAGTGAGAAAGAAGTCTGTTTGTTTTTTCCTTTCTATATACTGTGGTTTCCTTGTACTCTGTGGAGTAGGAGCTTGCTGATTTGTCTAAATATGTGGCTTTTGCATGCATGACTGTGTGTGGCTAGATGGCTTAAAAAACAGCAATTTTAGATTTCTTCAGATTTTCAATAACTCGTGCTCAGAAACATAATTAAGTTTGGGAGGTGATACTCCCTTGCCAAAAGGCACGTCAGTAGGACATGTAGTAGCTGATGAACAGTTACAACTAGTGCTCCCAGCGTTAATCTCATTAAAATGACATTAATGCCATTTTAACGAGATTAACGCTGGGAGCACTAGTTACAACAATTAATATCTACCCAACAATCTGTCTGAGAAGTATCAGTAAAGTCTACTGTGAATGACCATGGCAGACCCGATGACATGAACGTGCTTTGCATCCTTTATTTACACACAAACACATAGAGATTTAGCTCTCCTGCTGCCAGCTCAACAATATCACAACAACTAACCATCACAGGACCCGTCAGCGGGGCATTATTGCAGATGCTGTGCAGGTGCATCTGCCTTCCTTGCATGGCACCGCAGGCCCCACCCCGCCACATACCCCCATCGCCCGACTGAGGCCGGGCAGACATCCGGCCGAACCTACTCCACCACCATGAGCGGGAGAGGGGATCAGCCCGGATCGTCGGTGCCCCTGACCCCTGGCCAAGGGGTGTCAGTTCAGGTGGCCGCCCACAAACCCAGCGGCGCCGGCGAAGCTGGTCTGGAGGTCAGCCGCGTGGCAGGTGGACGCGGCGCGGCTGGCATGGTCGTGAGCCCCAGCTAACAGGCGGCTGGGCAGATGTTCGGTGTACACCGGCCACTGGTTGGGGTGAGGCCGGTCTGGCATGCACGTCCAATTGAGCAGGCTCCCCTGGCACAGGGACCTCCATCTCCTCGCGCGGCCCCTCCGTCACCACCACCACCGCAGCTCCAGGCTGGAGCAGCCCCTCGCGCGGCCCCTCCGTCACCACCCCCGCTTCCGGCTGGCGGGGACCCTCACATGCCTCCTCCACCACCAGCGATGGTGTAGCAAGTTCCTCCCACGCTGACCTCCAGCTCGGGCTGGGCAGGTGGGTGAGCTAGTGGTGGGCTCAGCAGTTGCTCCTTGTCCCTCCTCCGGAGAGCAGGAATGGGAGCCGGCCCCTGCCGGGCACAAGCTACTCCCACCCGAGGAGTGGGGAAGGGTGCGGTGACAGGCTGCGGACCGGCCACCCCAGAGGTGTCGGGGAGCACCTGTGGGGGTGGCGGCGGTGTCGGGCAGGACCGGATTACCACCGCCAGATCCTTCATTCTCTGCAGGTTCTGCTCTGTCTGGTCCTTCAGCTCTTTCTGCTGCCGGCGACACACCGCCGCCTGCTCCCTCTGCATGGCTGCCAGCTCAGCCACCATTTGCACCATCTCCTCTCTCTGCTTGCCCAGTCCTGAGTCTGCCGAGCCTCCCGTCCTGGGTTTCGGCACCACTGTGAATGACCACAGCAGACCAGGTAACATGAACATGCTTTGCACCCTTTATTTACACACAAGCACACAGAGCTGCAGCTCTCCCGCTGCCAGCTCAAAATTACCACAGCAACCAACCATCGCATGATCCAGCGCTATGCTTAAGTCGGCGGGTGTATCCGCCTTCCGTGCACGGCACCGCAGGCAACGCCACATCTACGCTTTAATCTTTAGAGTGCTGTTAGGGGCCCGACTATTTTACATGATCATAGTTCCCACTAAACAAAGTATCTGAAATTCCGTGGTGAATATTTCAGAATCTTTCCAACTTTATTGTTATTTGGCAATGAAAAACTTCTAGTATTTTGGTCTCAAACACTAAAACTCTCTAACACTAGTTGCTAAGCTTTATGTTGAAACAGTAAAGCAAGATCAAAACATTTTGCTGTCATGAAACCTGTTGTAATGCTAATACTAAATTCCAGATTCACATTGTTTATGTCAAAATCCCGATAGCTTACCAGGGAGAATATACTATATTTTTGCCTGGTCATGATACCAGTTGCCTGTTATAGCTGTGTTTAATGGCAACTAACTGGGCCGACAAAGGTCAGTGCAGCTCAGATGTGCCATATTCACAATGGAAGTCATTCGCTAAACCATCTGCATTGAATAATATCTATAATGTAAAGTTGCACACAATGGAATTGATTCATAGCAATGTGGCAACCAGAGGCCATAAGAAGTCTGTGACATTCAGTGACTTCAAGCGACTATGGCCAAAGTAACCACTGGCAATGGGAAATGGATGGGATCCAAGATAAACTTTTCTCATCTTCCAGGTGAGCAACTGAAGTATATAACAATGAAGAGTGAAGTCTATTGAGTTTGGAAAGAAAAGCTTCTGGACTTTCATCTAAGAAGCTTCTTCAACTCTAAGAACTGAAGGAGCTTCTTGGATGAGAGGTGAAACATCATCAACAAACTTAAAGAAGTCCAGACGCTTTTCTTTACAAGCTCCTTAGAGTGCAGTGACCTGGATGACTGAGAGCCAACAGACAATGAATAGTGAAGAATATCTGTATTGTCATATGACCTGATAGTGAATAACAATAGAAGGTAACCTAGGCAACCAGTGGCCGGAACACTCACCAGCAACCAGCTGTCAGCTTCAAAGTAATGCGTGATGACCAAAATTGCTGTTTGATGACCAAACTTTTTTTTAGGTTGCACTCAAGTTTTAGAATTTTGTCTGCCTTCTTGTTCATAGAATGATACATTTTGTTATATCAGAATGTTGTTAATGCCCTTAAACATCTCACTAAATTCAAGATTTACTCATTTATTTATTTTAACCCTACGATCGTGACATCTTTTTTGCTTCTGAACCTGTTGTCATAATCTCAGGCATAATTATACCATTCTTTAGCCAAATGCTTCAGATATCTAATTCTAGTTTTCTCTTAAACAGTTGCTGGAATAGTTAAATGTTAGTAATAACTCTGTGTTGGTGGTAGCTCCCTGCTGCAAACGCGATGTGTAGCATCTAGCAGGATGGCTACAATGCCAAAATGCTTCTCATTATTCTCAGTTTCTGGACAGATCTGCAGTATTGTTAAAAGCAGTGTAAAGGAGTCTACTTTTACAACGACCATATGAAAAAGGTTGATATTATTTACTGTTAAAGGTTCTCTGATAAAGCAACTTTTAAAGATCTGGACTCACAATTAGAGAGATGACTCAGTTTAAATAACTGAAACATTCCAGTAATATTAAGAGCTCTCTTCAAAATAGAGGACAGAACTACAAACCTATAATTACATGTGTTACTTGTTGAAATAGGCATCTAAGTATAGTTCTGGGTTTATGTCAAATCAACTGATAAAGGAAAACGACAACACCTTGGTCATCTCTGCTTTGAATTCTAGTTGTAATTTACCAGTCACACATTTTTTAAAACGGACTGTTTGATACTTATTGTACAGAGTTTAAGAATAATTAAAAAAAAAAAATCTTAGGGTTCTAGGGTTTTCTATCTGAGCATTATTTATGAACCAGCAGGAATCTGTGTTAGCACGGCTGATGCTAATGTGCCAGAAGTGGCTAACCAGCTAGCCTTTAGCTTAACATTCCTGTACTCTTGCTTTGTTGATGCAGTGTTGAGCAGAATACGTTAGAGTATTTAGTGCCTGATTACTGAATACCTCATCTTAAATGTAACATATAGGCTATTGAAAACAACAGAGAAATATAACATATTCCGAATTTTTCTAGAATACTCCGCCAGAAGAGCGGCTTTCATGTTAAACAGGTTATACTACAATCTTTTTTCCTATTACTTACAGACCATTAACATATATGATCATTTTATACTACTAAAATCAACATACTAAGATCTATTAGCAGGTTAATGGTTTACATGTATAACGTGGACCATATTAAAATATATAAAATCTTTACGGTTTCTACCAAACTTTAGGCAAAATGACGGGTTTGATTGTCTGCTTGTTAAGTAATCAGGTATTAAACCCTGTTTCCAGGTATCAAAGCTCAAGACATTGAACTTAGGACCACAGTTTTTCATACTAAGCAATCCAAAACATGCAGTAACACACTGATTATTATTCATGTGTAGTGGATGGTGTCATCTCTGACTTCTAGGCTGATGTTTTATCTGGGTCCAGTGTTTTCTGTCTTCCATATGAAGTTTATATCTGCCAGCAGCGCATCCTCTTACATTTTTATTGAGAACAATTTAAGCCACATCCTACATCCTCATCCCTGTGCTGATGTGTTGATATTAGCCTACCTATTGCTCTGTAGCCAGCTACAAAGGAGTAGATCATTATGTCAACTAACCCAACTTCAGTGACCCTCTATATGTTACTGCTAGTTTCCATAGCAGTCTTCATTTGCATCTAGAAGTGCTGTATGTTTATAGTTTTTCAGAAAGACATCAGTAAAAACATGGTATACAGTCTTTAAATGACAACTATCTCAGTGACTAAAGTCAGCTTACTGCTAACTCTGCCAAACCCCAGAGATCACTGTTTTAATGGGTGCCTGGATAATAAATTATAACACCTGGAAAACACCACACTGATAATTTTATCGGAATCTGGACCTTAAAAAAACAAAAAACAAAAAAAAATAGTGTTCAGAAAGAACATTTGGACCTGGAGATGGCTGATGAGGTTAGGCTTAAAAAGCAGATATAAAAAATCATGACCATTATAATTATATTTACAATCTTATTGCCTTCTCTTGCTAAAGTCTAATGATTAATCAGTGCATAACACATACCAGAGAAAGTCTATGCCACCTAAAATGGCACAGATACTTAAGAAGTGTGACAGAGGCAAGACAGAAAACAACAAAAACAAAATGCTTTAGTTGAGATATTTGTCAAGATAAAATATTTGATAGAAGTTTGATTGAAGGACAGGAAAACCTAAAGCTACTATACAATCCTTTTGAATAGTAATAATAATAATAAAAAAGGAAAAGTACTGGTTCAGACTAAACAGTATCTTCTATAAACTGTCAATAATACTGAATATAAAGGCAATAAGTTCTGATGGAACAATAAAATTTAAGGTTTCATCAAAGGAAGAGGTATCTATCTATCTATCTATCTATCTATCTATCTATCTATCTATCTATCTATCTATCTATCTATCTATCTATCTATCTATCTATCTATCTATC